CCTGAGTCCTAGATTCTGCAGGGAATTTAACTTTAAGTACGTGTGTTTAGCCCCATTGAAACTTAACATTTGGCATTTGCTTAATTATATTGGTCACTCGGGGTCTTAACTAGTTGTTAATGTCATCCTAATGCTGTGCTTGGCCATGCAGTCCAATACAACCCACCCCATATATTTATCTGCCCTCCTTTCCATCCCTGCATCCCTTGAAAAACATGGGGAAATGGATGAGCCTTACAGCATGTCAGGAGCTTCAGAAGCCTTCAGACCAAGTGGGGAAGTGAATTGGACAGCCGAGGACTGTGCCCTAAGTGCTCTGCCGCCACCAGCCAGCTGTGGATGGCCTGGTTAGCTCTGTCTCATGCCTTGGCTCCTTGCAATTGCACGCGCATCACAGGGTCTTTCAGTCAAGGCCCAAACCATTCCGAGCTTCGCTGGCCTCCAGCGCCTGCAGCCTCACGGTGAAATCACTTTGCAGGCAGCACTGATCAGGGCACGGGTGTTGTGGGCTCACTGAGTGGAGTGTTGCTTTACAAGCAAGCAGCCACTTTCTGCCCCAGCTGCAGTTTCTCGGTGGTGGTAAGGCAGAGCCTTGTGTAGAGCATGGTATTGTAACCCAGCCCGGAGGTGGCAAGGGCAGCGATAACTGTGGCATGGGCAGCAGCCGAAAGAAAAGGACACAATGGTACAAGAACATAAGAACTGCCCTACTGGGTCAGACCAAAGGTCAATCTAGCCCAGTATCCTGTCTTCCGACAGTGGCCAGTGCCAGGTGCTTCAGAGGGAATGAACACAACAGGTAATCATCAAGTGATCCATCCCCTGTCGCTCATTCCCAGCTTCTGGCAAACAGAGGCTAGGGACAACTTTCCTGCCCATCCTGGCTAATAGCCATTGATGGACCTATCCTCCATGAATTTATCTAGTTCTCTTTGTTATGGTCTTGGCCTTCACAATATCCTCAGGCAAGGAGTTCCACAGGTTGACTGTGTGTTGTGTGAAGAAATACTTCCTTTTGTTTTAAACCTATTGCCTATTAATTTCATTTGGTGACCCCTAGTTCATGTCTTATGAGTAAATAACACTTCCTTCTTTACTTTCTCCACAGCAGTCATGATTTTATAGACTCTATCATATCCACACTTACTTGTCTCTTTTCCAAGCTGAAAAGTCACAGTCTTGCTAATCTCTCCTCACATGGAAGCTGTTCCATACCCCTAATCATTTTTGTTGCCCTTTTCTGAACCTTTTCCTATTCCAATATATCTTTTTTGAGATGGGGCAACTACATCTGCACACAGGGCCGGCTCCAGGCACCAGCTTACCAAGCAGGTGCTTGGGGCGGCCACACCAGAGAGGGGCAGCACGTCCGGCTCTTCGGCGGCAATTCGGCAGTGGGTCCCTCACTCCCGCTCGGAGCCAAGGACCACCCTGCCGAAGTGCCGCAGATCGTGATCGCGGCTTTTTTGTTTGTTTGTTTTTTGTTTTGCGGGGGGCGGCCTGCTTGGGGCGGCAAAAACCCTGGAGCCGGCCCTGTCTGCACACAGTATTCAAGATGTGGGCATATCATGGATTTATATAGCGGCAACATGATATTTTCTGTCCTGTTTTCTATCCCCTTCTTAATTATTCCCAGCATTCTGTTTACCTTTTTGACTGCCGCTGCACATTGAGTGGATGTTTTCAGAGAACTATCCACAATGACTCCAAGATCTTTCTTAAGTGGTAATAGCTAATTTAGACCCCATCATTTTATATGTATAGTTGGGATTATGCTTTCCAATATGCATTACTTTGCATTTATCAACATTGAATTTCATCTACCATTTTGTTGCCCAGTCACCCGGCATTCTTAGCAACCACTAACTGGCCAGCTGGCCAACGGCGCCCCCTAGCTGTGAGCCTAGTAATAAATGGCAAGCATAGTCCGCAGTCAAGCAATATATCCTCTTGGTCACTTCCATCTGTTACTTCCCTTTGGTTTAAGCATTCTTGTTCTTTTCCTGGCTGAGTCTCTGCTTGGATATTAGGAAAAACTTTTTCACTAGGAGGGTGGTGAAGCACTGGAATGGGTTACCTAGAGAGGTGGTGGAATCTCCTTCCTTAGAGGTTTTTAAGGTCAGGCTTGACAAAGCCCTGGCTGGGATGATTTAGTTGGGGATTGGTCCTGCTTTGAGCAGGGGGTTGGACTAGATGACCTCCTGAGGTCCCTTCCAACCTGATATTCTATGATTCTAGCTGTCCCTCATGCGTGCCCCACTGTGTGTTAGGTGCTGGCTAAGTTACTGAGCACCCTGAACCAGCTGGCTTAGGTGGGTGTCATGCATATTATAGTCCATGCCTACTTGCTCTGGCTGGCTCCATGCCCTCTCTGAGCTCTTGGGAGGAAGTAGCAGAGCCACTCAAGTGATCCCATATGTGCCTCAGGAGTATCTGCAGATGTGGTGCCACATTCATGCCTGCTGTCCTGGATCGTGACCCAGATCCCATTGAAGTCAGTGAGAGTCTTTCCAGGGATTCCACTGGGAGGTGACTCAGTCCCGTGAAGATGATGAATGAATCCCGGTGGAATAGGACCTTTGCCTTACGTTATCCTAAGGCTTGACACTGAGAAGTGCCGATCACCCACAACTACCTAGTCAGGCTATTAAATAAGGTAACAAAACCAACTGCATGTTCGTGGCAGGAGAGCACTGCGCACATGTTGGTGCCGAATACATGAAGTGTGAACTAGCTGCACTAAGCCTCTTTGTGACTCTAGAGCACATGGAAAAATCTCATTGATTCTGAGTCTAGTTGTGACTCCAAACTCACGGTTCAGTTTTTTAAATTTGCTTTACTGGTTGTGCCCTGAGAACTCTAGAGACCAGACTCCAGCTTCTGCTAAGCTTGGTTCTGGAAGTTGCTTTGTGTAACATACCCGTAGAAAGTGTTTATTTTTCCCCTCAATTTTTCTTTGTACTTAGGTCTTCATGGCAGAGTTTACAGCTTGCCAGACATCAACAGTAAGTCAATTTTTTTTTAATGCTGTTTAAAGGAAATTGTAGCAGTGGGCTGGTCTGATCGCTCAGTGCAGTACTAATGGAGGTCCCCAAATCTTCTGCTTCCCGGGTCCTCTTGGTTCCTGTAAGCCCAGCCTGTTGTTGTATGCTTCAGAACAATGGATATCAGGAGGGGCATTGGAAAATTGGAATCTCCATAATGTTGATCCTTTTTCACTCTAACAAATTCCTGCCTGTTCTGAGACTTCTGTTTTTCAGATTTAAGCTCTGATTGAGCACTGCTCTTAATCACAGGAGTACCTTTCTGAATCTGGGCCTTCATAATGTCATAACTGGGGGTTCTTGCCAGTGATAATCAAAACTTCTCCCATTCCTATGAATGGGCATTTTGTCCATCTCGGGTTTGGCTAAAGGGCTCTCTGGGAATGTTCCTGTTTGGGGTTGTGAATTATCTCTGCTTTCAAAAGCAGTATTGACTCCCATTGAGATCAATGGAGCTACTCCTTACAGTAGTATCAGGTCTGGAAATCAAGGGTTGTGATCCATTAATACAGAAGGATGAAGAGGTCTGGATTTTCTCTTGATTGTCCCTGCCATAAGGGGGCAGGTGAGAATCAGGAGCAAAACTATATTGGGCTGGAGTTAGAGGTAAGAATAAGCAAATCTAAACTGAACTGATGTGATTTACACTTTAGAGTCTAGCTTAGACTCAGTGAGGTTCTCTCAGACTCACACCAATCTCCTGTCATGGAATTTAACCATCACCTCTGAATTTGGCCTAATGAGTCCATGTTGGTGTATCTTATACATCAGAGAGCTGGAAGATGGGTCTGCAGCAGGAAGAGCAACTAGTGAGAGGATATAAGATGATATACGTTTTTATAAGAAGATAAGGGTTGTGAACCACGGCCACGTACACCACTGTCATCAAGACACATCACATCTGGGACCATCAGCTCCAGGAACGCTGGCCTATATCTCTAAAGGAGACTTTGCTGTAGTAGGGTGACAGAGCATATATTCCTTGGATCAGCCACCAGAGGGAGACATGATCACACACTAAGGCAGTGTGTTCAGAAAGCATGGGCCCATGAGCACCTCTTGAGGCCAATGACTCCAATAGGAGGAGGAGCTGGCCCCAAGAGGCGTTATAAGAGGAACACCAGTATGGGCCCATCGGGTTGCCATCTCCGAGACACATTGGCTTCCCCACCCTCCAGCACCACCAACAAAAAGGGTCCCAGTGCCGACCATGGCTAACGGTTACTGAAATGTTCTAGAGAACCATTGCACATACACACATGCACACACAACATAACACAATAAATGTATTTTTATATGAAACTGTCCCAAGTAGAAAAAACAACTAATTAAATCTTTTCACCAGCAGCTGTGGCAGTAAGAAAACCAGCCAGGCTGGTTAAAAACCAGCCAAGTGGCAACCCAAGGGTAGCCAACAGACTGTGTTCCTTCAGCCACGCGATGGCTGGGATGCTTCAGCCAGCCACTCTGAAATCTCGCCCCTGAGTGGTATGGGGCTGCCAAGCCCTTGATGCACACCGTTTTCTTGTGCTCCCTCCCAGGTGAGTGCCAGCTGCGTGCCAGCGGCGGGGTGCGCAGTGACAGCGATGATGAAGACGACCTCGTGGATGGCGCCGAAGCTGAGCACTACACTAGGGTGAGCATTTACCTCTGTGGACGTGCCATGCCTCGTTCCGCGTGCTTCCGTGTGGACTGTGCTCTTCCCCGCTCTGGGCTTTCTTAGCTGGTGGGGGGGCTTTCTCTGCAGCACTCCGCAGGGGTTTCCGTTGCCTTGGTTTTCTGATACAAACCTATCTGCCTATGTCGCCAATGTAAATGCTGTAAAGAAAGTGCTGGACTCCCGCCCTCTGGAAATCAGGCCCCTTTGTGGTGTCAAGGTCCCAGAAATTGATGCTCCCAAAATCACTAGCCCCTTTTGACCAGGTTTCTTTCCCCCTGATTAATATGAGCATCCTGGTTCTCTCAGAGTGGCACACTGTGACGGGGTGGAGGGGGCCCGTCCAGTGCAGGGTGAGTGCACCCCATCCCTCAATCCGCCTTCTGCCTCTAGGCAGTGAGGCCTAAAGGTTCAAGTCTACTGACTGGCTCTTGCTATAGGGCTGTAAGGCCTAGCAGTCAGTCACTAGCAATGCCCTAACTCCCAGGGCAGTGGGGCCTAGCAGCCAGAGTCCGTAACAATACCAGACTCCCAGAGCAGTGAGGCCTAGCGGCCAGAGTCAATACCCATAGCCTGACTCCCAGGGCAGTTAAATTTAGTGGCCAGAGTCAATAGGATTGGGCCACCTCCCAGAGGTGCGGCAGCCAGGGTAGGAAGACCTGGGCCCTCCCTGCTCCACTGGGTCTCAACCCAGGGCCCTGGTAGTGGCAAGTGGGCTCACCACTTAGTGGGGATCCGCCAGAACCATGCTGACTGCTGTAGGAACAATGGCTAGTCCCTCCCCCGGGTTCCTCCTACC